AACAGCTTATCGCCATTGTCTGTATTGAACCTTTATGCCTGCAAAATGTCCACATTTCTTAAAAATGAAGTTACTCAATAAATGTGCCCTTGCGTTTTATTTATTTAACCCCTGCTGTTTGTTTTTGGTGCGGCTAGGAGACCATCTCTCACATGGCAGAGACGTATGGCTTTCAGTATGAATTGGTACAGTACAAGTGGCCCCGTTGGCTCCACCAGCAGACTGAGAAGCAGCGCATTATCTGGGGATACAAGATCCTCTTCCTCGATGTTCTGTTCCCTTTGGCTGTGGACAAGATCATCTTTGTGGACGCCGACCAGGTAAGGATCAAATTGAACTGACATAGGAGAGAGCTGTGTGTAAGTGTGAGGCTGAAAGCAAGATACTCGTCAGCATGAGCTCCGGCACTGGTGTGAAGATTGGAAGAGATTTTTAACACCACTCAAGTCTCGTCAGTCCTCCCCGTGCTTACCTGATGTTCTCTCTCTCTCTCACAGATAGTTCGGGCTGATCTGAAGGAGCTGAGGGATTTAAACCTGGAGGGTGCTCCATATGGCTACACACCGTTTTGTGATAGTCGCAGAGAGATGGAAGGCTATCGCTTCTGGAAAACTGGCTACTGGGCCTCACATCTAGGACACAGGAAATACCACATCAGGTATACTTTGTTAAAACTGTGAAATGGAATAAAGCAGCAATCTGTTTTGAGTGCCTTTTCCGTGATGTTCAGCTATATACACTCTAGAATAATAATATAATCCCCTCCCTCGTATCTTTCACTATTGTCATGTTTAGGGAAAATTGAGGCAACCACTTCTGGAAAGGTAGAATAGTAGGCTGTTCACCCAGTTTATTTAGTTGGTGGCATTCATGACTTGCCTCTGTACTTTGCAAAACAGAGCAAAATGCAGTATATCTCCTACAATCATGAAAATACACCTTTCACTATTCCTGTACATTATGGCTTCAATTCAGCAAATCATCTAGAGGAATTATTTATTGTTCGGCAAGAGTGTTTTTTTTTTTTCTTCTGTTTTTCCCAAGACCCAAATACAGAAGGACAGAATGAAAAGAAACTGTATTTTTGCACTCTTCTATTTAGAGGCTGGAAGTGCTGTAGTTGTTTTTGTTGTTCCTTTCCTTTCACATAGTTTTAAAATCTCTTCCTGCTCGGGCAATAGAAATGAACTGATCTGCCAGAAGTTGACTCTATAAGAAAGACTTTTTAAATTTTTGGAATTGTCAAAAAAGTAAAATTATTTTTTTTATCAGATTCTGCACCACACAACAATACTGCCTTCCCCCAGTTTCCATGGTGATTAGACCCCACCAGATATAGTTGCCATTCTCGTAGCTATGTTTTAGTATGTGAATTTTGTATACAGCCACGGTACATATTAAATCAAGAACTAGGTATAAAATACGTTCAGCTCATTGCCTGGTGTTCGACACGGAGTTCTCTCCCTCTGTCAGTGTGATGGCTAATCAGGTGGCAGCCTCTCTGTAGAGAGAGCAGAACTTTCCATTTTACCACTGGCTGATTAGGATGGGGAAAAAAAGAAAAGTTATAAAACCACAGTGATTTGATTGGATGCCAATGTGCTGCTTAGCTCTGTGGAACAGGACAAAAGCAGTGAGCGTGAGTGATCAGCATCAGTGAGCACACAACATAAGGTAGCGAATATCCTCTGGCAAACTTAAATCTAATAAGTGATAAGTGTAAGGACATAAAATACCGTTGGGTTTATTAACATGCCATGTTAGGTGCAATTACTGTATCTGAATGTGCCTGGGGTATTTATCTTTATGGAGTCATCATTTTATTTTTATTAAGTTATTCCCTTTAGGTAATGGTTTTCTCACACCTGCTTTGTCTTGTCTGTCTTCTCTCTCTCTCTCTCTCCTCCTATATTTCAACCAGTGCTCTGTATGTAGTAGATTTAAAGAAGTTTCGGAAGATTGCAGCCGGGGACAGATTACGAGGCCAGTACCAAGCCCTGAGCCAGGACCCCAACAGTCTGTCCAACTTGGACCAGGTACGTAACTCAGACATAACACCACTGCATTATATGATGCAGAGATTGTTCTTTCAGCACCTACTATACTTTAATATTTTGTTTATTCATATTTTTAGGACCTTCCTAACAACATGATCCACCAGGTGGCCATCAAGTCTCTTCCACAGGAGTGGTTGTGGTGTGAAACGTGGTGTGATGACACCTCCAAAGTCACAGCTAAGACTGTAGACCTGGTGAGTCCCAGATCAATTAGACCTGACTATGGAAGACTAATTAGTATGTGGCGTAAGCTAGTGGGCATCCATGGGAGTTATAATTCATCATCAAATCTAATTGTTCATTTTATTATAGTTGAATCCTTCTTCCATGTGTTGAACATGCTGTTAATTAAAAAAAGGATTTATGTATCACTTTTTTACACCACTTTTTTTCAGCTATTGTTGGTTATAGTGGTGAACTGCTGCTGTAATACTGAAAAGGAGGAGCACATTCCCAGCCACTAATGTGCATGAGGCACTTGGCATTTAGGAGACAACTGAGGAGCAATCCTGTAGTCTCCTAAACTAATTTAGAGAATTACTGGACGGGCTCCAGTAGACCGGAATAGGAAGCATTGTTTCATTGTGGCATAGGACACCACTTGGTAATTCAGACATAAGACATGGGCTAATGTCCTTTTAACAGAATTGGAAATCAAATTAGGTTTAAATGCCTGCCACAGACAGTGCTGGGAATGGCAATATGACTTGTTGGGAGAAAGTGGCACTGGTGGCGTGAGTGATGTGTTTTGTCTGCCTTTTCTGCTGCAGTGCAATAACCCAAAGACCAAGGAGCCCAAGCTAACGGCTGCGGCGAGGATCGTGCCTGAGTGGGTTGAATATGACAACGAGATAAAGCAGCTACTAAGACGGGTACAGGAACAGGAAGACACGGCGGCGCAAAAACAGACTCCCTCTCCATCACAACATAAAAAAGGTGAACAAATAAATAGAACACTATTCTTCAAGCTTTGCCCTTCATATGACAAATAGTCACTGTACTATCTCTCTACTCTTCTATGATTAACTTTTTTTTCTTGGCCAAATTTTTGTCTCTCTCACCACTGTGCTCATTTTCATTATTTCTCTCCAACATGGCCCCCTCCTCCCCCTCTGCACAGTAGACAACCGGCGTGATGAACTTTAGTGTCTGCCAGCTCCATGCTGAAGAGGAAGGAGGCAGCTCCTTCTGCATGCAGGCCACCTGTGAAGCTTGAAGACAGACAATTCCATCTAAACATAGCCATGGAGTGTTACATCCCCAGCCAGAGAAGGATGTGATATTTTCAGATGCCATATCTGCTTCTGCAGTCAATACGTCTTACAAAATTTAACACACATTGTAAGTGTTATCCGCCAACTGTGAACTCGTGGTGCGTTATCAGCACTACAGTTAGGTCTTGGTTAGTATGTGGTTACCGGAGAATGAAGTGAACACAGAGTGTAAATGGGTGAGGTCAGTCAGAGCACTATTACGTGTGTGTGTTCTGAGATTAAGTAGTTGGCATATATTGCACTGATAATGTATGCAAAGAATCAAACAGAGAAGGCACATCTCTAAGAATCTAATCTCAAAGTTCAATGTTTTTTTTTTATGTAAAAGTGTTTTCAAAAATGTAATTGATTAAGGTATTCTTTATTTGACTATGCGTTGACTGAAATGCCCAAGCCAAAGTTGTGACTGACATAAAGCTAGTCCTGTTTTTAAATTTCTCTCCTTGCTGCAAAGTTGTTACATTATAATTGTGGTACTGTAATTTTTATTTTTTGGGGGGAGCATAGGGGAGGGTCTTTTTTGTGTGTCTATTTTAGTTTAGCCTTCACTTCTAAGATTTATTATGTAAAAAAAGAGATCAAAGAGCTACATCGAAAACATGGCTTTCATGGGTCATAAAGGTACTTTATTCTTTTCATCACCATCAAACAGGTGTCTGATGTACGTTCTGAAAAACAATACATGCAGATCTTTTTAGTTATTACTGATCAAAGGTCTAAAGTAAAGAGTACAGAAAGCTGAAGTAAAGTTAAATGTGTTGTACAAAGTTAGAATATGATTCATTTTCAGCACCACACACTGCCAATTGTTATCAATTTTTATTTCACAGTTAGTTGAACTGTACTCCAAGTCTCCAGCTGCTGCTCCAAAACACACCTGGCTTACATTTCTGGTAGTTCCACTCAGATTTATGTAGCCTAATTGGTTTAATTATGACAGACATCTAATCCAATTAATAAGTTTAACTGTTTAAAGTCAGGGGATAAGGGAAAAACATTACTCAGAAGCCCGAGCACGTGGCTGTGTCGTGGTGCAGATTAATGCACAGGGAAGCCTCACGTGTGCAGGGGCCCAGATTACCTAGTTTAAAAAACAAAAAAAAAACAAA